AAGCAGAGCTGAGGTGCCACCGCCCTTTCCCTGGCAAGAGCCCCGGTTCCTGACAGAGGCTCCATTGTCTTTGGCCCGCAGGTGGAAATGTGGATGGGAAGTTCAGCGTGGGCTACCGTGATGCCGTTGTAAGAACAGTAGTGAGCCTGGACCGGGAGACCACAGCCGCATACATGCTCGTCCTGGAGGCCATCGGTACGCACCGGCCCCACCTGCACACCACCAGCACGGTTCTGGGCACGGTTCAGTGAGGTGCCCTTCGAAGGCCAGGCAGCCCTGACCCCGGGAGCCAGGCCTTGAGTCGCAGTCTGTGTCGACACCGGTGGAGAAAGGGCAGCCAGACAGCCTATTGCTGAGCGCGGGTGGCCATGAGGCTTAGCTCACAGTGCTACAACGCAAAACATTTAGTTGCTGGGGTGGGAGCCACGGGGCAGCTAGACGGGAGACCGCTGTGTGGACAAACCGCTGCAAAACCAGGCCAAAGGAAGCCGAAAGGGGGAAGGGAGGAGCCAAGAGTATCGGGCGCACAGGGAGGTACAAGCATGTTCAGGGGAAGGGTGTGATCAGGGAAGTCTTCTTAGAGGAAGTGTCTTTGGATCAGCATCTTGGTTGCAAGTTTCAAATAAACTGACTTAAGCAATATGGGCTCACAAAACCAGTCCGTAGGGTGATGGAGCTTCAGGTGTGACTGGACTGGGGGCTCAGGGGATGCCACCAGGCTTCAGTCTCTCGGCATTGGCCCCCTCTGCCTCCTGTGTGTTGTCTTCATTCTCTGGCTGATGTGGTGACAAGTTGTGGCCTCAAACCTGGTCTCAATCCTTTTGGGTTCAAGTGCTGCATCGGGGAGACAGCCCTGGTCTCTTTCCTAGTCTCCCCAGCTAAAGCCCCAGATGAGCTGTGATTAGTTCCATCTGCCCCAGTGCCTGTCCCTGAACCCCTCGTCGTGGCCAGAGGAGGAGAGAGGTGCTAGTGAAGCCTGAATCACATGCCCATCCCTGGTGCCCAGAACCCCGGGCCTCAGGGTCAGGAAGGCGGAATTCTCAGAGGGACCTTCAGGATACGGGCCGGCCTGTGAGAGCAGCATGGGGCAGCTGGGCAGATACCTTGAAGGCTGAGTAATCGTCACATTGTGGGCCAAGTAAAGTTTCAGTAAGTCTAGAAGCAGGGAGGGCGTTTCAGGCAGAGGAACCAGCTCAGGCAGAGGCCTGGTTGTGGGAAAGAGCTGTGTGTGTGTGTGTGTGTGTGTGTGTGTGTGTGTGTGTGTGTGCGCGCGCCAGCAGCTGGCTTGTGGTGTGATGTATACTAGGGAGGGGGAGGCTGCAGTCAGGCAAGGCCAGCTTTTAGAGGCCTTAAGTTGGGCCAGAAATTTGGTCTTTGGTCTCCAGGTAGTAGGGAGCCCATGAGGGCTCTAGATGAGAAGAAGGATGTGATGAGACCTGTCCCCCACCCCCCTCCCCCACCACCCAGGTACGCTGCATCCTCCCAGGAGCATCCAGTTCAACATCTGCAGGGAGCTGTGGGTGAGAGGGAGTGAGCGTTCTGCGTCTCGCTCTTTCCTCTTTCCCACCAGTAGCTCCTCCCCAGCCCGCCCACGCCCAGATGCATCTGCCCTCTGGCGGCTCTCCTCCCACCCTCTGGAGACCCCTCATTCCCCCTGCGTCCAGCACCGTCTGGCAGGAGGAGAGGGCTCGGGATCAGGCCTCCGAGGGGGCCTGGCAGCTCATGCTGTGTCCAGCTAGGCCAAGTAAGCAGGAGCTCCCGTGGGAGGCTGGGCTTGGAGAGGAGCTCCAAAGAGCAAGACCAGGTTAGACACTTGTGCCCCAGCATGTGGTCAGCTGGCCTCGGGAAGAAGGACTGAGTCACCCCTGGTCCTTAGTCAATTCCAGCTGCCTGCGCTCCGCCCTACGGGTGACTCTCCTCGCCTGGACGCGTAGCACGGGGCCCAAGTTCCTTCCTCCAGGGAGGGCAACGTGACAGCTGTCCATGGGGCTGAGCCCCTTCCCCAGCCCCGGGAGGGTCCTGCAGGGAACTGAGGGGGCAGAGCCCCTGGATACCTCTGGCTCGGAAATCAAGCAGGGCCTGTACCCCCGAATGCAGAGGGTCCAGAGGCCAAATCTGTCCCGTAGGCATGTGTGACCTGTCTCTTGTTTCGTACAGAAGGACAGTTGGTTGTGAACATTTAAAAATCAGGAGATTTTATTTAGAAGCTCAGAGGTTCAGTTTCTCTGGAGAAATCGGAAGGTCTAGTGTCACGGGGCCCACGATGGACCGGCGCGGAGAAGAGCTGCCCTCGGGGTCACCCCTCCCACCTGTGCCCCCATGGGTCTCGCCCGCCTGGCCCCGTCAGCAGTTGGCTTGTGAGCTGTTCCTGGATCTGTCTCCGAGGGCTGCTGTAACGAATTACCACAAACTGAGTAGCTTAAAAGACTAGAGATTTATTTTCTCATGGCGCTGGAGGCCAGAAGTTCAAAATTAAGGTGTCGGCAGGCCTGCATTCCCTTCTGAAGGCTCTAGAGGGGCATCCTTCCTTGACTCTAAGCGTTTCTGGTGGCTCTAAATAATCCTTGGTTCGTGGCTGCAAAACTCCGGTCTCTGCCTCCGACTTAACCTGGCCTTCTCTTCGATTCAGGCCTCCCTCCGCCTTTTGCTTTTAAGAACCTTTGCCATTGGGCCTGTGGCCCACCCAGGCAGTCGAGGATACCTCATCTCAAGACTCCTTTTTTTTTTTTTTTTTTTTTTAATTTTTTTTTTTTCAATGTTTATTTATTTTTGGGACAGAGAGAGACAGAGCATGAACGGGGGAGGGGCAGAGAGAGAGGGAGACACAGAATCGGAAACAGGCTCCAGGCTCTGAGCCATCAGCCCAGGGCCTGACGCGGGGCTCAAACCCACGGACCGCGAGATCGTGACCTGGCTGAAGTCGGACGCTTAACCGACTGCGCCACCCAGGCGCCCCTCAAGACTCTTAATTACATCTTCAAAGACACTTTTTCCTAATAAGTTGACATTCACAAGTTCCCAGGGATCTGACGCGGGTAGATCTTCCAGGGGCCACGGCTGAAGCACTTCGTGCCTCCGTTACCTCCTCTGTAAAATGGGAATAATAATCACAGCACCTACTTCACATGCTTCTCCTGAGGGCTGCATGAGTTAGAATAGCGCCTGGGACAGGTTAGATATTGTTAGTGTTATTCTTAATCTAAAAAAGGGGGGGGGGGGAACCCCACCCCTTGCGACGGCCAGAGCAGGTGGGATGAACAGGAAATCTGTCCCTCAGGCAGCCATTAACAGCCCGTCTTCCTTCAACTCCCACAGACAACGGCCCCGTAGGTAAGCGGCGCACGGGGACGGCCACCGTGTTTGTCACCGTCCTGGATGTGAACGACAACCGGCCCATCTTTCTGCAGAGCAGCTATGAGGCCAGCGTCCCCGAGGACATCCCTGAGGGACACAGCATCGTGCAGGCAGGTGGCCATGGCCCCTTGGGGCTGTTGGTGGGCTGGGGGCAGGCATGGCTGCCACGTGGAGGGATGGAAACAGAAGAGGGTCCCGCTGCTGCTCCGGAAGTATCCGGTCGGCAGTGGGGAAAGAGGGAGCCAGGCACCCTCCTCCCTCCTGGGGATGGTAGGCCTTTAGTTTCTGTGGCCTAAGACAGCACCCTGGTTCCCCGCAAAACAGAAGGAAGGCCTTGCCTCCCTCCCTTCCCCCACAGCCCTCTCCTCTTCCCCCACCCCATCCGGAGGGCTTTTTGGAACAGCAAGTGGATGGAGCTGTCACATTTTCCCCGGTAGGAGGTGAGGGGGAAGAGGCAGGGCCCAGCTAGGCCCAGAACAGAGCGGCTTTCACGGGGCCCTCGGCCAAAGCTCTCCTCTTAGGAAGTAAACAGGCACGAGAAGAAAGAGTTCCTTTGCCCAGGGTGCAGGACAGCTCTGAGGCTCAGAGGAGAAAGGGGAGGACCTGAAAATGAGGCTTAGGTCCCCTCCCCCACCTCCCCCTGGAGGCCTCCGTTGCTGGATGCGGTGGGAGGCCGGGGCTGAGCCAAACACAGCAAATCTGGGCCTGTCCGCCAGGGCAGACTCCCAGGATCCAGGATCAGAAGGGGCTGGAAGTGGATCCACCTCCCTGCATCGGGGCAGGAGGAAGGCAGGAAATGGGCTGGGAGCAGGGTGCTGACTCCTAGAGGAACGGAGAGTCCAGGAAGCCACAGGGATTTGCAAGAGTCTGGGGGTGGTTCCAGAAGGAGGAACGGGGAGGTTTTCCTGGCCTCAGCTTCTCCTCTAACCTAATACCTGCCACCCCACTCACTGACAGTCTCCCAGGACCAAACTGAGGACATGCCTAGAGGTGTGGCCAGAGCTTTGTGGACCCCCCAGCCCCCACCCTCCCTTTCCATCCCCAGCTATTCCTTCTCCTCAGGCCTCAGGGCAGCCTTACCCCCTAGTCTCCAGGAAGAGAACACCTAGGACCGAGCAGGACACTGGCCTGGGCATGACACCGGTGACTGTAGGCCGAGTGCATCCTGGGATGTCTCAGGGAGGCCCTGGGAAGGGAGCCAGGAAGAAGTTCACAGGCTGGAAGGGAGAGGGTAACAAACCCCTGTGGGAGGAGGCCTGCCCCACTTTCTAAACCTGAAGAATTGGTTTCTATTTACACAACACTGCACAGCCTGAAATTCTAGAGCCCGTGAGTAATACAGGGCAGCCCTGATTCTCCCCGTTTCTCAGGGAGAAATTCGGGCATTAGTGACTTCTCCAAGGCCTTGGAAGTTTCTGGCCAAGTTGGCCTCACTCTCTGGTGTCAAACTGACCTAGAAGGAAGGTACAGTGGGCCTCACCAACATGCTGGAGAGAAAGCTTCTGTCTCAGGGAGAAGATGGCTTCCCCCCACCTCCCCAGGACTCCTTAAACTTTGGGGGGTTGGGGCACACCCAGACGGGGCCATCCTTCACCTGGGAAACAGAGGCGTCCTACTTCTGTGCCTGGAGCCAGTGAAGCAACGTGAAGGTTTGGACATGGTCTTGCTCTCTGCAAGCTTCCAGGCTTGTAGGAAGGACACGTAGACGTGGATCGCCCCCAATGCCAGGAAGAAGTGATCCTTTCTCTGAGAGATGTGAGGAGCAGGAGTGGTTCTAGGCAGAAAGTGGCTTTCCGCTGGAGAGCAAAGAGGGCTTCCCGGAGGGGGTGCCTTGGGAAGCGTAAGCCATGGCCTGGGGACAGGTGGTTCAGTTTGTCTGGAGTCTCGGGTCGAGGTGAGGCTAGAAAGCTAGTTTGAAGCCAGCTCCCGGGGGACGCCGATCACCACACTAAGGAGCCGTGGCTTTATCTAGCTAGCGGTTGGAAACCAGCGATGGTGTTGGAGCTGGGGGGTGGCAAAGCTGGAGCTCACTTCCTGAGAAGACCTGGCTGGCTGCATTGGGAGTCACAGCAAGGTGGGTCCCGGCAGCCCTGCAGCAGGACGCAGGTGGCAGGAACTAGGCAGCTCATACCCCGTCCGTCCACCCTCCAGATTTGGGACCCCGAGTGCATAGCCGCACCCTGTGGGGAGAGTTGGGGGTTTGGAATTCCGAGAAGCCCACTCTAGGGTAGGATTGCTTTGACAGGTAGCCAGTCAATGGCACAATTGCCAAAAACTCAGATAGCATCCCTAGTGTGGTCCAGACCTGAGGTCCCACAGCTGTCCCGGAGAGGTCTGGACCCTCCTACCCGAAAAGGAGGAGGCCTCCTGCCCTGGGCGAGGCAGGAACGCTGTGATGTGTCCTCGGAGCCCAGGTGGCATCACCTCTGGCTTCTGGCAATGCCTCCCACCGCTTTGACACAGCACAGCTCCTTGGCCTCACAAGGAGCTCTTTAACCCATTCTCAGCCCCTTCCTGGTCCATTGTGACATAGGCGCCTTGAAGGGGGGCCACCAAGATGGCTGCCAGGAGGGTGACTGGCTAGGCAGGGTTGAGAGCCTCCTGTTCGCCCTCCTCCCAGCAGGCACGCGGGCATCTGACCCACAAGGGTGCTGGCTGCTCCCAGGGATTATTAGGTGAATGCTGGTAGGTCCCAAGATTTCAAGGCGAGAAGTCGCTGGCTTGCCTCTTGCCTCTGGCACTGAGTTGGCACAGAGGGCAAGACAGTTCCTTGCCCCCCGTGTGGACGGAGTATTTCGTTTGGCTGGAGGGAACCTTTGGCCATTCGGCAACTCAAACTGGAATCCGTGCTGGACTGTGGCACCTGGAAGGTGGGCAGGACTTCTGTTGGGAAGCAGGGGCACTGCTTCCTGGAGGTGGTTGGTGCCTGGTTGCCAGAGAAGAGTGCTGGGGGTCCCGGGTTGTACCCTCTGGAGCCCGGAGCCGAGGGTCAGATGGCTGCAGGTACCCCGCTGTTGGCCCAGCAGTCTTTCAGCAGGCAGCAGCTGCAGAGTCGGCAGAGAGGAAGGCTTTCCTCCAGGGGCTGCCTCTGGGAAAGGCCACAGGCCTGGACGCACAGGGGACCACTGTGGCTGAGCGTGTGGCCCAGGTCCTTCTGCAGTCCCTGGTTCCAGGCTGTGTCCGCGGCAGGAGGATCCTCTGGTGGGTCCTGGGTGGCGGGGACGCCCCATCACATCTTGGTAGATTCCGTGCAGTCACAGTCGAGGTTGTCCTCGCAGCCCGGCAGGGGGCGTCTGGGAGCAGGCCTGCCTCTGCGGAAGCTGTGCAGGGAGCGGCGCAGAGAGCCCAGGCGCTTCCAGAGCCTGAGCTGGGGCTCGCTGGGGCTCCCGGGGTGGTGGGGCAGGCACTCCCGAGCCCTGCGGCTCGGGTCCAGAGCGGCCGGTTTGCAGAGGGTCATGAAGAGCAGACAGCTGGCCAGCAGAAGGAAGATGCAGGCCAGGGCGAGTAGCGCCGGGAGGGGGTCAGCTGCCTCTGTGGGACTGCCGGCAGTGACAGGGGCGGTGAGGAAGGTGAGGGGGCTGGGACCCCGTGTGCTCATGGCTCCTGCAACAGGAAGGGGAACGTTGATGGGGGCTGGGTGCTGCTAAACTAGCCGCAGACAGCATCACAGCCATTGTACAGGTGAGAACAGTGAGGACCAGAGAGGTGACAAGTCTCAGGTCACACAGCAGAAAGTGATAGAACTGGGCCTGAACCCAGGTCCCCTTTCTGCTCTACCCCCGGCCCACTTGCTACAGAGGAGGCAGCAGGGTGATGCCTTCTGGCATTTTTAAATCAATCCTCGTGAATTACACTAGTCTTCTGCCTGAAATCCTGGGATATAAGACCAACTCCATCAGTAGCTTGCTCTGTGACCAGGAACAAGTTATCAGTTATAGGATGCTGCAGCTGGCAAAGGCCCTAGAAATTATCTAATGTTGGGGCTGCAACCTGGGGGCCCGCAGGTACATTTCATTGGGTCCTTATCGTGTTTTTGTAAATGTCAATTAATCACGAGTATTTTTAAAGTCACAAACCCAAAACGAAGGGATTTCACATGGCTGTCTGAATGTCCGGCTGCTCTTGAAATTTGAGAATTGCCACACTGGCAGCCAGTTCCTGCCTGGCACTCAGTAGCTGAGGCTGAGCAGCCTTTGTCCCCTTTAGAGAGGTCTCTGGCCCCCAGGTCACCGCACTCCTTCACAGGCCCGCCACACACCTTATTTCACCTGCCTCGCCCCATGGGCGTTCCTGCTGGTGCTTCCCAGTGTGACCCAACCTGCTCCCATGACAAGGAAGAAACTGAGGCCCCAGCAAGGGAAGGCCAAGCCCATGCTGTGAGCCAGTGGCCAAGCGAAGACCAGAACTAGGTTCCCTGACTCCTGGCCCTGTGGCTCCCAATCCTCGGAGATCACTGAGCAGCTCTGAGAACAGGTGGGAACCCACAAAGAGCTACACGGTTGACTCCCCCTCCAGACCCCAGGTACCTGTTATCAGTCACGGCCATCCCGCTAAAGGGAGCTCAGCAAACAACCTTTGTAGATGGAAAATCAGGCTGAGCTTCTGGTTGGATAGGTCTGGGGTTGCAAATAAAAATCCTTAGAGCGCATGGCCGGTAGATAACTTGTGACAGAGGACCCTCAAGCAGGTGGCGGTGCCTCGGCCAGGCTGATAGAACGCAGGCCCGGCTCTTTCCGGTTTCCCAAGAGAAGCCAGAAATCTGGATTTTTCAGGCAAACGTTCCTGGCGTTTAAATGTTGGCAAGTAATTCAAATTTGGTTAAACCAGGAGAGGGGCACAGGAAGGGGGATATGGTGCCAAAGTTAAACAAACTCGACTCCAAAAAAATGTGCAATGAATTTTCAAATACATAAAACACTACAACAGGCCAAACAAAACACGCAAGCGGGCCACCGCCAGCTCTCAGGCCAGCACTGATGATGTTTGATTTCTACAAACGCAGGACAGGAAGTCCAAAAGAGGGCCAAAAAAAAAAAAAAAATCCTTTATTTCTCTTTGACCTTAGATACTTCCGTGCGGCGGGGACAGCAGTTTTCCCCCTTTCTCCCGGCTTGTAGCTTAGAGTAAACTTACGGTTGAGTTTCTAGCGTGACGCTCTGCAGAGTTGTGCCAAGGCTCTGTATGTGGGTTGCCCAGAGCCCGTGTCAGCAGGCAGTGGGGAGTGGAGAGGGCCCCCCCGCCCCACCCTCTGGAGCCCCTGTCCCTACCCCGGGCACTCACCAATGGCGGCGGGACCTAACTCCCAGCTCCCGGCCTCCTTCCTGCTCGCAGCCTCACCCCGCGCCCGGCCAACTGAGGGCACACAGCACAGCCCGCCTCCCACCCATTCCCTGCTACCACTCCTTCCCACGTTTCCAGACAGAACACGACCCCTCCCGGCTCCCAGCTGGAAACTTTGATGCCCGTCTAGCTGCCCGGGGCCGCTGCCTTTCAGGCATCGGGCCTAGAGAGCACGCCAGCTGGGCGGCCATATGTGGTTGGCCGTCCCTTGAATATGAGCATGGAAAAGGGATGGGGTGTGCCCACCACAGGGAGAAAACTGAGAAAACGTGCCCCCTCTCCTACCCTGGGCAATCTGAAGCGGGAGAAGTCTCAATCCTGCTAGTCCGGACAGTATTTCAAGGCTGTCACATGAGTCTGGGGACCCTATCAGACCAGCAAAGCTGGCCCAGACTCCAGTCCTTGGGGGAAGCACTTTAATAAAAAGGCACGTGAGGCTATAACTAGCATCTTAGTAGTTTTCTTGGAAGCGAGAGATTCTAAAGGGCTTGAAGACATCAAGCCACCCTCCCTGGAACACACAGCAAAACCAGCTACCAGATCCTTTTACAATCCCTCTGATCCACCAAGGGTCAGCTGGTTGCAGGGAAAAGAGGCCTCCACCAGACCGAGGCTAGGAATGATCTCGAGAGCAGGTGAAGCTTCTCCCTGCCCGCAAGCCCAAGGCACACTGGCAGGCCCCTGCTTTAGACGTATCTCTGCAAGCTCAGTCAAGAACGTTCTTTTTTCCCTCAGAAGTCCCTAGAACAGCACCTGCTGGAACAGAAGAACTAACCTCAGGGTACATTTTGCTGTGTGGCCTTGGGCCAGCCACCGTCCTTCGCTGGGCATTGTTTCCACTCTGCAGAAAGCAGAAGGACTCCCCAGGTCTGCACGCACCCTCACACCCTCCCCCAGAGTCCCCCAGCAAGGGTCTGGCCCCACTTTCCTCACCACACCTTCTCCTGCAGCTCCCCGAACTCTGACCTCAGAGCCAGCGCTCAGCAGTCCCAGGCTGGGTAGACAGGTCTTCTTAGCTGTGCAAGAGAGGCCCAAGTAGCACCGGGTGCCACCCGTGACCCCAACTTGCCCCGGCCTCTGCCGTGCCCTGTGCCCCTCAGTCAGCCAGGCTGGGCAGAGCGAGCTGTCTTCACTCACTCTCCAGCTAGCCCTGGCTTTGTCTGGAAGAGTTTGGGCCCTGCCTTGGGGGAGGGGACAGCCAAGAAGGGTAGGGATGGCAGCTGGGCTGGGCAGAGGGAGAGGGGAGCCAGGCAGAGGAGCCCAGTTGCTCCCCAAGCCTTCCCGGGGCCTCACTTCAGCCGGTCTCCTTGGAGCCCTCTCAGCGGGCAGGGTGGAGGCCTGGGGGAGTCACGGGGAGGGTTTCACTGCCCCGGCAGCAGCCCTCACCTTCCCCCATCGGGTGTTTGAATGGTATGGTCGGTAGCCAGAGGGTTGCTATTCAGTGCCTGCCAGCCTCCAGGTTACCCGGGAGAGGGGAGAGAGGAGAGGGGCTACAGCCCAGCAGCAGGGTGATAGGCCCTGGCAGCTCCCGGGCCCCTCCTCCCCTCCTGCACCCCTGCGCCCCTCACCTCCCAGGCTTACCACTCAGCTTCCCAGAAAAGCACCTGCCCTTTGAAGGTGTCTCGCTGCAGAAGGGAGGGGTGAGCGATGTTTTCAAAGGTCAAAGAGATCTTAGGGCAGAAAGCACAGAGTTGAAGGCCAGCCGTGGCTATGTTCCTTATAGTTTGGGTGGGCCCTTGGAGACCCTCCAGGTGGTGTTTCTCCAGCTCTCCCGCACCACACACACACACACACACACACACACACACACACACACCCCTCCCCAATCTTCTTTCTTCCCGGAAGCCAGAGCCTCCCCAGCAGCCAGCTGCCTGCAAAGGAGCCTAAGTCGTAAGCAGCTTCCCCGTCGAGGACCCCCCCCTCCCCCGCCCAAGCTCCCAGAAATACAGCACAGAGGTCATGGTGCCTGGGCCATTGTTCCAGAGACTGAGGATATAGCAGTGGACAAAGTCCCTTCTCTCCGTGGGAATATAGATAGTAAACAAGGTTATAGTATATCAGAAGCTGATGGGGGTGGGGACAGCCTGGGTATTGGAGTGGTGGGGGGTGGGGGGGGGGCTGCAGCTCCACATACAGCAGTCAGGGAACAGATGACATTTGAGCAGAGACCTGAAGGCGATGAGGGCGCGAGTATAACACAAACCCGGAGGGAGAGCTGGCCGGTGGAGGAAACAACATGTGCTTGGCATTCAAGAACCAGCAGGGAGATCCGTGTGGCTGGGGCAGAGCTGGTGAGGAGGGAGTTGTGGAAAATGAGCTCAGATACTCCCACTTCTCACCAGTAGGAAGGTGGACTCGCTCTTTCTCTGGGCCCAAGGTCCAAAATCTCAGCGAAGGAGTAGACTGACTCAGTTTTGATGAGGTGCCCCCCTCGCAGACCAGCCACCGCTGGCCCCGGTCAGTAAGGACCCGGCAGCCTCGGTGCTGCGGTGAGAGGTGGAGAGAAGAGCGCAGGTCCAGAAGCGAGAGGTCCAGGGCATCACAAGGCAATTCGCCACAACTCGAGACGACACGCCGAGGCCCCGAGTCCGCCCGGCCATGCCGTCGGGCCTCTTCCTGCATCACCTTGCGGGGGAGCGACCTCAGCTCGCTTCAGGCACCTGGCAGTAGAGTAGGTGTTCGGTTCTTGGTTCGACAGGACCCGCCTTGGGGCTGGCGGTGACTCTGCCAGCAGCCTCGAGGCTGGACTCCTTGTGAAAACGGAGAGACCCTGGGTGGGGTCTCTGAGTGAGAACAGCACGCCCCAGGTCCCACCAGGGACAGCCCACAAGCCCCGGTGACCTGAAATAGACCGGAGTGAACGCATGGGTGGTTGAGTACGGAGCCACCTGGCGGGAGGTGGGATTTCTGGGGTTCCGCCAAGTGGCTGTTTCGGTACCTGGTGCCCAGCCGGGACTCAGCGTGGCCAGAATGGCTTCCACCCGGGAAAACTGGGGGCGAGGTGCAGCCGCACGTCCAGCCCCACCCCAGATGAGGCTCCTGGGGTCTCAGAAGGAGGAAGGAGGAAGGCAGGCTCCCGTGGGCTGACCTAATCAAGCCTGGATCTAGAGAGCTCCAGTGTGCCACCCTCCACCCTCTCCCCCACCCTCCCCAAGACCCTGGTGGAGGATCAAGGGGCAGAGCTGACGGGTCCCCTGCCAGGACAGGGCAGCATAGAGCCCTCAACAGGCGTCCTTGTGGGGGTCGAGACGGGCATGTCCTTCGCCTCTGACGCTCCCCCGGCTTCTGTGGGCAACCACACGTTGTCCAGGATGGGCTGGGGGCGGCGTGGAGGGCGGGAGAGGGGCTTCACCGGCGCCTCCTCTCCCCGTGGGATGGCGTTCAGGGGTTGACATGTCTCATTCTCCCTCAGCTCAAAGCCACAGATGCGGATGAGGGCGAGTTTGGGCGCGTGTGGTACCGCATCCTTCACGGTGAGTGGGTTGCCCTCCTGCGCTGAGGAGGGCCGAGCTTCTCCAGGCTGCCGGGAGTCTGGGAAGGGAGGCCAAGGAAGCCTTAGGCGCCATACAAGCCACACACACGGGCGGCGGGCAGAGGGGGGAAAGGGACATTCTCTGATCGTTCGCACCAAGTTGGGTGTCTTTGAAGTGAGCCTGCTGCGCTTGATTGCTGTCCTCCTGGAGTGCCTCGAGTGGGAAATCACCCTGACAGAGGGGGCCTTGGGGGAGGGCGGCCCCCGGCAGTGAGCCCCCCAGACATTGTCACCAGCCCAACATCACTCAGACACTGGGAAGGTGCCCTCGGCGAGCTGGCCAGGAGTCTCGTTGGGCCAGCCAGCATCACGTGACCATCCCTGACCCGATTACTATTGGCCAGAGATTGAAATACGCCGATCTGCCCGCTCTTGGAATCGGGGGTAAAACCACCCCTGCGCAAAGCACGTGGACTGATGGTGGAGGAGGGTGGACCCCCCAGCGGAAAATTGGCATGCTCTTACCCCAGGACAGTGGAAAGTCCTGGACCAGCCCAAAGATATACACAAAATCCTCACTTCAACAGCCCACAGAGAACTTGCCTTTGTGTCTCTTCTTGTACTGTCCCAGATCCTTCTGAAATTTTGAATCCCCTGAAACGTCATATAGGGGTCTCAGGGGACCCCCAGCCTTCCCATAAGGAGGGTACAAGGTGGGCTCCCGTCCCCTCCCTCAAATCCTGCCAGGCCAGGGCAGCGTGAGGCAGAGGCCTTCTTGCCATCATAGGCTTTGTCCAGGCTGCTGAGACCTCTGTGCGGGGTCAGCATTCTAGGGGTCCGGGCCCCACATTTTCCCCATCGCCATGCTATGAACATCCCATGTCCTGCTCCAGGCCAGAGCCCATGCATCTCCTCTGTCCCTCGGCACAGGTAACCATGGCAACAACTTCCGGATCCATGTCGGCAACGGACTCCTGATGCGAGGGCCCCGGCCCCTGGACCGAGAACGGAACTCATCCCACGTGCTGATAGTGGAGGCTTACAACCATGACCTGGGCCCCATGCGGAGCTCCGTCAGGGTAAGGTGGGGGGGGGGGGGGGGGGGGGGGGGAGGGGCTGGCACATAGCCAGTCAGCAGGCCGTGAAGCCCTACCTCCCCTTCAGCAGTGGCCTCAGAGCTGGGCCGAGACCACAGCTGGACCAGAGATGGCCACCAGCTAAGGCTCGGTGGGGGCCGGGAGCCACTGGTTTTAGTTGCTGAGTGACCCGGGGCTAGGTGTGTGGTCGAGGAGGCCAGAGCCCAGCCTGGGATCTTGGAAGCGTCCTTTTGTTCTGAGCCTCAGTTTCTCCAGATGTGGAAGGGGGTCAGCGATACCGATGTCGGTCCTAAGAGACAGGAGGGGTGTCCTTACCCTGCTAACCCCCACAGCCACGCCACTCGCTAGGGAAATCTCACAGTTACGATCTCGGAAATAGAGACGTTGCCAACTTCAGTCTGCGTGAGGAAACTGAGGCACAGAGGCGTCGCTAGTGCCGGACCAGGACTTGAGCCAGGACTCCTGAGTCCAGGCTCCGCGCACTTCCCATTGAAAGTGTCCCCCAAAATATTCCAGTTACCGCTCCCGGCTGCTGCAACAAACGTATTCTTTTCCGCCCACCCTCACTCACCTCGAGCCTCTGCCCTACGCGGCTGAAATCAGGTTAACCTTGATCTTCCCGAATGGTCGAAAACAGACACACCGGTACCCCTAGTGGCTGGGTCGGTTTATACACTATTCTGCCCCGTGGCAGAGGGATGGCTGAGGCAAAGGACACGACCTCTCGAGGCCACCCCACCCTACCCCCACTGCACACTCAGCAGCTCACAGCCCCTTCCCCAGCACCAGGTGGAAAGTGAGTCAGACCCCAAAGGTGAAGAGTAGGAGGAAGGTGGGAAAAGCCGGGGTGGGGAGCAGGCAGGGACTTTTACCCAGGACTGAGTATGAGCTTCTTATCAGCCACATCTCCACCCCGCTATTTCCCCGGGGCTGGAAACAATGAACAGAAGCCTGGGTCACCATCATGCGGGAGGCGCTAGAGAGTAGGTGACTCGGCCTTGGCCCATCTGCTGATGCCCCCGCAGCTTTGCCCCAGGAGGAGATGGAAACAGAAACCTGGGTCCTTACAGCTGCCCCTCTGAGTGAGGGTCTGTCCAGGCACGGACGGCTCAGGGAGTCACACCCCTTGGGCTTTCACACCTTGGGGCTGCTTGGAATGATTCCAGCGCCCTGGTGACTGCCGGTCGCACCACGTGCCCCGGGGCATTCCCCCACGGCCACGTTCACCTGCACGACTGCGAATCGCTTGCTCGCGTGCTGATTAGCGCACTCGCGTCACGGCTTGCTGTTTGTGGAGCCGACTTCAGGCCGCAGAGTGACTGATGTCAGGGTAGCTCGGGTTGGCTCCCTGGACT